TGGCAGGTTAATGTAGGCCATTTTCACTTGGCAACCAAATCAATCCCCTGCAACACAGGCTTCGCTTTCAGACCACTAAAACCATTTTACAGTTTCTGAAAATGATAAGCCAAAATGAAGATCAGGTTAGAGAAACCTTTGGTGACAGTGTCATTTCAGACAGAGTTTTGCTTTGGCAGCCATCTCATTCTATTCCTTATCAACTTTCACTGCAGAGCCAATTATTTTCTGCTCTAGCACCAAATGATGTCTTGCATAAAAACGTGGAGGTGTTCTGAGGTAGGCTGAGCCGTGTCACAGGATTTAACATTTCAGATGTGCATTATCATATCACTATAATGTGCATTTGTTTTGCTGCAAATAAAATATTCTGGATATTTATACAGCTAACAGCTTTGGTTTGTATGGTTTGTATTTATTAAAACGTTAAACTACTGAGAACAGTATATGTATTTGCCCATAGTAGCCAATTAGGAAAGATACGTTGTTGCTAAGGGCTTTTGTATCTCCCACCTTATTTTTTCCCCCCCTTAAAGAGATGGGGGGACAAAAGTATATACCTGCAGCAGCCTCCCATACCCTCCTGTAACAGATGCATGCAAAGCTGTTCTGACAGAAAAAGCTCAGACAGTTCTGTTGGAGTAGTGTTGGAGTTTGCTCCAACACTACTCCAATAGGAATGTGCAGGAAGGGACAGGCAAGTTTTGGCTATGACAGGAAGGTCTGAGATGCTGGCCTGTGCAGGCACCTCTGTGCTGACCCTATATACCTGCAGCAGTTTTGTTTTTTAATCCTCATGACATAGTCTCTTTTAATGTAAATTTTATTTTAATTGTAAAGTCTCTTTAAATTTAAAATTCTATTTATTTGTAAAGGTCATTGCCTCTAACATATTGAGGTCAATTTACTAAAAGAGGTAAGCATCTTCACTAAATAAATTCACTTATGCACACTATGCTACACCATGCAGGACTGTTTTTTTTTATTACAGCTACATCAGGAAATCACTGCTCATCCATGCAAGAAATCTGTAGAAATGAATGAACAATGTAGTGCTGGTGCTCAGAAATACTAGAACAGACATTTATTTTTAACACAATGTAAGGCTAAGGACTGTAACATGGTACACATGTGGCCACAGAACACACACCTAGCACTAATCAGGGTTTTATCTACAATTCATGGAGCCCCATAGCAAAATGTTGATGGGACCCCCAGTGACATCACTCTGGGACACCTGTGACCATAGTGTTATTGATCGAAGCATAAAGTATGTCTAAATCAAGAACAGGCAGCAGGAGAGCTGTTAGCATAGTCAGTATGCTATTTTGGATGAGTGCTGTGAATAGAAGTTGCCTCAGTAGAGCAGCAGTGTAGGGAATTCACTTTTAACCTTAGTTGTCCAGCTAGCTACTTAGTAGCGCAGCAGCATTTTTCAGCGTCAACTGATTTTGTCAGAGTATAAAATCTTAGGGTTTTTGGTGTAAACTCTAAGCCCCCCTCTGCAGTCAGAAAGTGCTGAACTTCGTGGTTTAGTAGTCAGAGCACAAAATACAAAAACTCCAATGTCCTATCACTTTTTTGTGACAAAGACACTTTGAGGGGGTTAATGCCAAAATGCTGGCCAGCATGGCAAGAAGCTCTTAAAGCAAGAGATCTACTCACAGATAGTGGAATGTAAAGGATATCTGTGACTAACAATAGCATGATCCCAAAGCATGATCTTGTGCATCTGACATTGGCTCTCCTGGAATGGAGACATTGGAGTGGAGTGTGACACCCTTCCCACCCTTGGGTGCCCTGGCTGCTTGGACTGCTATGGCTATAGTAATGCCACTGGTAATAATGTAGAAACACACTTCAACCTTATCTTTTGTTATGTGTATGGATATGTCAAGCTTGACTGAAAACCCTATATTCTTAAGCTGCATGTGACTGGGTACATCCATCAGAATTCAGCTTCCTCCAGTCTGGAACCAGAAGATAGTAATTACAGCCCAAACCTCCCCAAATAGCCAGGCATAACTAGTAAATATTAGGTTAGGACCTACCTTTATTGAAAACCAGCACATTATTAATACAGTTATGGAGGTCTAAAAACATAATGCAATCAAACAATAAAACAATGCAACCAACCATCTCCTCCCAGGGCCTTAATTAAAAATGGGGGGAGAGAAAACAAATATGATGGGATTAACTATCTCCTGAGTGTCTATGCTGCTATGTTAATCTCATTATTAACACAATGCAACAAATACACAAACAGACTTTAACAATTTAATAGAAGTCTAAATCCAGAGTTAACTTCTTCCGTGCTGCTGCATTCACACCCTGTACCTATAATGGGCTCAGGGTGACTGAACCATAATGCCAGGGGGTGACTGGGGAACCACAGAAGGGTTTCTCCCAATATAAGTTCCCAGTCTGGTCCAGGGAAGGATACTGGGCTATAGGGAAACACAATCTCAGTTTCTTCATGTACCCCCCACATAAATGGAAAATAGGTATCTGGGGTTCTCCTGATCCATGGAACGTAAATAAAGGGTCACACACAGCCCAAAGCACCATGGCAAGCCCCTCTCCCAATCAATAGAACTCTATCCACAGCGAAGGTCCATAGTCAGTGGGAAGGAGTCAGGCCTGCAGTTCCCATCAAACAACACAGTAACGGAGGCTTCCGTCACACTTCGCTCAACTTGTGGGCTGAACAAAAAATATATAACAGATTCCTCCATCCACACTAAACAATTTCCTTCTAAAAAAATAGGGCCCCTCAGCAGATGTATTCCAATTATTTAGATTAGCGACTCATTACTCTGCTACGTTGATAGCAGACTTCACCAACAAGTGGTCCTGCTCCAGTAAAATAACTTATGCGACTTCATAAACTTGGAAATCTCACATTTCAAATCAAGTAGCATAATTGTTATAATAATAATGTTACCTCAAAATTCTGTTCTCTGAATGACGTTGTTCTTTCACCTGTGTTTTATGTTTAACCTCCCTCCCAGCAGACAGGAACTGTATTGTAACATTTCTCATTTTGATCCTGTGTGCAATGACAGTGCCATAACTATATGTAAATTGCAGTTACCCATGGCAACTGAATAAGATTTGATCTATAAGCTGGAATCACTTTATTTTCTTATCTTACTAAGTAAATCTGTGTATACCTTATACCCTGTTTCTAAAATATCTTGTCTAACAATTTTTTTAACTAATTGCGTAGCTGTGTAACTAATATGAAACTGTATCTGCATGGACACACTGTCATAATGCATTTTATAAAAATGAGTATATGACACATATTTTGTTAGTGCTCCTATAGTTTCTCATTTTACATACAGTGTTATTGGATTTGAGAATATCATATAAATTCAGAAAGGATTATAAGCAAGATAATGTATTAAATTCCCGTATTATCTTTTTTTTTTTTCATTCTTTTTTTCCATTGTGGAGAAAGCACCCATTCATTGGGAAAAAAGACAATTTTATCCTATTATAGTATGTATGTTATATTAACATACCTAAATTTCATGTAGGTGTTATTCACATGAAATTGAAGTATATGTAAAGATAATAATTTCTTTCTGTTCTTTGTATTTTTTTTTAATGGGGGTTCTATTTTTATTCTTCATTAAATAAAGTTTGGGAGTTTCCACAGCAATGCCTTGACATGGGCTTGAGTTATTATACTCTGAGAGTTCACCTGTCTGCCTAATCAGTATTCACAGGGTCAAAATGGGCAGAACATCTCCTATTGCAATTCACAAAGGTGGTAGCAAGAAGGCATCTAGAAGATCCATGTTGCTTGGGTGGGATTTCACTCTTTTACTGAAGGCCTCGATGATACCTTGATGATCCAATTCTGTCTTGTTCATTGTGGCATCTTACACTAAAGGCTGCCCTCTTAGTAACAATTGCTTCCACCAGAGAGGTCTTGGTCCTTTATGCCCTGTCAATAAATTAGCCTTTATGTTAGACAGGATACGCCTTGGGCCAGTTCCCGCCTTTTTACCTAAGGCCACAGAGTTTCATGTCAAATGGGAAGCTGAGCTTTCTACTTTTAACCCATGAGATCTGCCAATGAAAGAGTGAGAATGGTCCAAACTGGATTTGATGCTTAGCTTATTTGTGTACTTTAACAGGCCAACACCGTTCAGGCAGGATGAAAGCCTTTTTGTCTTAACCTAGAATCGTGTCTTCTTGGGGAATTAAAACCATACATAACCCTTGTAGGTCTGTGGTTCTTTCCCCTCGTTTGGAGTTACAGGCTCACTTTATGAGCGGAATGCAGGTCACGTGGGCAAGCTATGCAAAGGTGCCCGACAAGGCTGTCTGCAAGACTGTTAGTTGGAGCACACCCAATACTTTTGTGCTCTATTATAGGCTAGATGTCAGATTTCATTCTGCAGGTTCTCTTGGGACCTGTGTTCTTTCTGCTGTTTTGTCTAGTTAAATAATTTTTGCATCATGTGGTGTGCATGCTTTTATTTTTTTCTCTCCCTAATGACATTACTAGTATGGCCCATAGCAGGCTAACATGACAAGGACTAGGAATGCAGAAAATTGTTACCTTATACTTACTATAATTTTCTTTCTGGCTCCTCTTCTTGACAGCCATGTGATCCCCACCCTAATTGGCTGTTATTGACCGTCACAAGCTTTTTTGATGGAATTGGGATTTGCAGCTAGATCTCCTTATTCTCTTGTTATGGGTTGCCATAGGGAGATTTGGAGGATAGAGCTGACATAGAGTAGGCTGCCATTAGGTGGAACCAGGAAAATTGTGGTAAGTATAATTTAACAACTGACATATACTGCACTTTCAAAAGTGAAAAACTGCTACTAAGTAAACAGTCTAATTTTGTAGTAAATATCTTCAAATATGCATATGTAATGCTCTGAAAGAAGTATATGCCAAGAATGTAAACCGTAAAATATACATGAAACTTTAAAAATATAAAAATATTAACTCTACATAATCCTTTTCTTATTAGGTTGCAGGACTGGAGAACAGCATACCGACAAAGGATCACAAGGTAAGATAAACTGCTTGTATGTAATGTTTCCCTAAATATTTTTCAGTTGTGTTTGGTAGCATACTGTATATATTTAGCTGTGTTACACAAAGCCAAAGGAAATAATAGTGGTTTTGTGTTGTTATGTTTTTAAAAATATTGCTACCGATATGGTAACTTTGTATAAACCTTCTAATGTTGACAGTCTTCCCCTGGGGGTACAGTATTGGTGGAATAGTGTACTGTGTACTACAATTCATCCATTCTAAACTCTGAAAATCTAGATAATATTTCAGTGGGGATTCAGGAAACAGTGACTGCACAAATAATCTCTTAGATCTTAATTAGACTTAACCTCCCTGGCGGTATTCCCGAGTGTAGCTTGGGGTTACTTTTCCATACCATAAGCGGTAACCCAGAGCTACACTCGGGAAAGCCGCATTGCAGGGGGGAGAAACCGGCGGGATATTTAAAAAAAAACGACCGAAAAATGACATGAAAAAAATAAACAAATCATACCACCAGGGAGGTTAAAGGGACCCTGTTAGTACTCTAAGAAAATTCAGCCAGCTGCTTCCTGCAGTACTAGAAGCTTAAAGTATATTTCCACTTTTGCAGCCAAATTGGGATAACACCTATTTTATATTTGTTACATGTTCCCGTCCACATAGCATAAGCTTAAAAAAATTTAAAAAATGTTTCTTGTAGTTTAAATGGCTTTTACTTGGGTTAGAGTTTTAAGGGTTAAAATGTATTCCTGCTTCTATTTCTTTGAAATGTTAGGAGGGGCTGTGAGGGGGGAGGGGTCTGACATGGCTTGTTCATTGTATGTTAATGAAGCTTATCAGATACACACAATCCTCAAATGTCAGTCTCAAGTCTTTCCATTGGGACAGACCACTGTGAAAGGGCTGAGAAAAATCTGGACTCAGCCATCTTGCCTGATTTAACAAAACATAAAAGGTAAAAATGTTTTTTAAAAGTTATTTTTCAGTATGCTGTGTGAACAGGAACACATAACAAACATATAGAGGGGTTTTCTCAAATTTGACTGCAAAAGTGGAAAAACACTTTAATACTTACCTATTTAGTGGGCAGCAAGTGAAATCTTTACTGTGGTCATCAGCTGTGGGAGCCGCTGCTATCTGACATTTCAGGGTGTGTTGGATAGTGTGTGCCCTGTTGGGGGTTGCTTCAGCTGATGCAATTTGCAGATCAAATCATATTTATAGTACTTTTTCTATTTACAGTGTTATTTTGTTTAAACAAACACTGGTCAGAACACAAAAAAAGCTGTTTTTTCATTTCCTAACATCTTTTTGTTTAGCGATTTTCATAGAAAATAAAATGATTTTTGAAAAACAATATTGCCAAAAGAGAGGCTAGTTATTAAAAAAAAAAGGTATTTATTACTTTGACATTTTAAGTATAACAAAGTTATTGCCCTCTAAAAAGGCCCATAGTGGAAATGTCAACATTGTTCTGGGCCATAAGGGATACATAGGTACTAGAGCTGACTGGATAATATGGAATAAGCACAATTTTGTTGATTTATTTCAAAGGTTTATGTTCCTGGAAAAAAAAAACATATATCAGATTTGTGTGCTATATAGTTCCTTAAAACGAATAGCACCATTTATGATAAGATTTGTAGTGCAAAGTAAGGCACCAGCAGAGAAAAGCCAGATTACTGTGAGCTCCTTCCATTTGGCATCGTTGGAAATAATGGTTTCCTGTCTTTAGGAGGTCAGGTGTTAAGGCGGTGAAATAAAGGTGCTGAAATACAGGAATGGAATTTATCAAAGCATCTTTTGTTCTAGTGCTGTGTTTTATACCTGACAATACAGTAAATAAACTCATAACTTAAATGTTGAATTTCTCAACTCCATTTCCTTAAGAGACATTTTTTTGCAGACATGTTAGCTGAGGACATCAACCGAAATTCAGGTCAGCCGTGATGTAGTCATCAGACGCACTTTTACACATAAATTATATATTTCGTTGGATATGTGCACAGCTGTCAGTGTTGGGTTAGGATTCAGAGAACCTAGGTTCTAAAATGCCTTTGAAAAATTGAGGTTGATATAGTCAAAGAAGGTTTTTTTTATCCTTTTAATAATTCTTTAATTGTGACGTGAAGCACTTTTATACATCATTAGTAGTATATACACGTAAAGTGTTCATCATAATGTGCCAAACTAGGAGTCAAATAATATTTAAGGTACATAAGGTATGAAATCTTTAAGTTATGAAGGATAAACTCCAGGCAGATATACATTTTATTCATGCATTTATATGTTCATTATTCCATAATTAAATCTGAATCTGCATTATGCAGAAGAACTAGAAGAGGGAGGGGATAACAGTAGTGGCCAATCAGGTATTCTGAGAGAAATTACCTAATAAGTGTCTGCTTCTTCACTGTTCATTTACATTGTACAGATAGGGGGTGTAGAGGCGACCAAGTTTTTTTGCCTAACTGCAGTAGTCAATTTTGATGTCACCAAACTGTGTATGCTGTCTGGCAGAACTGTGTAAACATCAGAGCTAGCGGAACAGAATAAGTAGCCCTTTGGCATGAATGTTATGCTTTTTCTAAGGTCATTACATTTTGTTATAATAAAGTATTTATTTATTTGCTAACATAACTTGTGGCTGTTGCTTTTCATATACAGGACAGTTCCTTTGTTCTTGGTGTTCATATAATTAATTGGCTTTTAATTTCTGTAGCTGAAGCTTTCCACATTTTTTATACTCAAGTTGAAATTTTATTATTTGTGTATTGAACTGATTTTTAAACACTGGAGGAAGGTTTCTTCTAGAACCTGCAGTTACCAATGAAAAACATAATTTCATTGGTCACTGTAGGGAGCATATACATTGAGATTTTGAAAACTAGTCCCAGTGGCTACAAACATGTGAAGTCAGGTGTGCTTTGAAAATCAGCCAGCTCAGCATCTAGCAGAATGTACCTTGGAATGGTTTGGTAGCAATGTTTTTTGTAGTGATGCCAGGTAAGGCATTGTGTGTGGATCACATCAGTAAAATCACAATGACAGATTGCAAACGCTTGATTAATGATCCAGTATGCATCTATAAAACCCTTGAATGTGTCTATAAACATCTTATACAGCAGGGGGAAAAATTATATATCACCTGTTTCTGTCATTCATAGTGATTTTCTTAAGCAAAGCCATCTTGCGTTATTTCTGTCAAGTTTATAATTAATGGGATTACCTAAATGTCTTTTCTTATCTAGGACTGTCACGGTCTTATTAAATATCGCTAGTTTTTCTGTGAAACAATAGTAGCACTCACTGAGCCTTCTAAGGAACGATTCATTGCTTTGATTAATAGGTTAGAATTACCATTCATGAATATAAAGCTAGTAATATGTACATTTATTTAATTGGCAGGATCATTTGTCACCACTTGAACGGTGCATTAAGTGGATATTGTTTAAATATAAATACACTGGTAGAGAAAATCTATGAGAAGTTCTGCTGTACTTCAGTATTTTAATGTAAAATCATTTCTGACACTTAACGTTCTTCTTTGTACTTGAATATATTTAAAGCTCATTGACTTGGATGGGAAGACACCTTTTTAAGTAGTATTTATTATGCATTCAACTGTGTGCATTTGCTCATTTATTTTAGCAGTAGTAGAGTGTTCTATGGTGTTAGCCATCGATTAATGCAGAAAATCTGTAGTTTGAATTATACCCTTTATTGGCTAACTTGAGTTTTTAAAGATGCAAGCTTTTGTGATGCCTTACATCCCTTCATCAGGCTTAAAACATTTTTGAACATGGTTATGAAAGCCACATATTTATACACAGGAGGAATAAAATATAGATATAAAAAATATATATAAAAAGTTATCATTTCTTTTTAAAAGGGTCTAGAATGCTTCTTAAGATGAACCAGTCCTACGCACACAAAGTGGGAAACTAACATCACTGCTAAAGCACAGGACGGCTGTGGTGCCTGCAAATGCCCAGACTTGTCTTTAAATTGTTTTTTCATTTGTCTAAGGAATCCCCTAGATCCTACAGCCCAAGCTGTATATAGGACTCTAATTTCTCTCCAAACTAAGACTAAAGCATAACTCTAGCTAATTTTAAAAACACCTTTAAATAGAGTGGCGTGAAGTTTTTATGTCTAGGACCCTGTTGGGGTTAATTTCCCTATTTTCTGTCCATGGATGGAAGGGTGGTGCAGGTGGAAAGGAAGGCACAGAAAGCAATAAGAACATTGTCAGATGTTCTAATGCCTCAGTATGCTTTTTTTTAGTTTTTGTCTGTGTCCCCTTCAGAAATATTTCCACTGCTGTTCTGAGAGAAACTGAGACAAAGTCTCTCCTTTTAAGACAAAGATGGCAAAGAAAGCCTGGCAATGGCTTTGACCTTTTGGTTCTATCCAAAACGAAATAACAAAGTTTTGTCAAGATTGGACTGGGCCATCTTAATCCTTATCCCCTGTCATTAAGCTTCCAGTGTCCAATAGAAGCTCTGATATTTGACAGCTGAAAAAAAGGGGACAGTCTTAGGGCAAGGCATCATTTTGATTTGGAGAGAAGTTAGCGTGCTGAATACAGCATGGGCCTATAATCTAGGATCCTTCTCTGTGCTCACCAGTAATATTAGTGCATACGCCTTACATAGTTACACAGCTATTCAGGTTGAAAAAAGTCCATTCAGTTCAACCTTTAGAGAAAAGAAAAAAAATTAACTTAAAAAACAAAAAATTACAGAATTTTCTGTGGATCTTGACTTCATATTTACCTTTAAAAGCTGCAGCTCTCTGATTTATTAAAGCCTTTAAAATTGAAACTGTTTGTACTGCCCTATAGTAACCAGTTAAAATTTCATCTGGCATTTTCAAGCCAGTTGTCAGGGTACACAAACAGTTATTTAAAAATGGTGAGATTCGATTCTTATGTTGTTCCCTTCAGTAAGTTGCTCCCTCTAAAATTGTCCATATTACAGAAAGCAAAAAAAAAGCATGTGGCCTGTC